TGTTTCCTTGTCTCTCTCTCTGTTCTTCCCTCTGTTCCGTCCCTCTGTTCCTGTCTCCTCCTCTGTTTCCTGTCTCCTCTCTCTGTTTCCTGTCTCCTCACTGTTTCCATAGTCTCCTCTGCTGTTTCCTTCTGTTTCCTTTCCTCTCTGTTTCTCTCGTTTCCTCTCTTGTTGCCTGTTACTCTCTGTTTCCTCCTCTTGTTTCCTGTTCCTTCTGTTTCTCTCTGTTCCTCTCTGTTTCCCTCTCTCTGTTTTCCTGTCTCCTTCTGTCTCACTCTCTGTTCCTGTTTCTCTCTGTTTCCCTCTGTTTCCGTCTCTCTGATTCCTGTTCCTCTCTGTTCCTGTTCCCTCTCTTCCTGGTCTTCTTGTTCCTGTTTCCTCTCGTTGCCTGTTTCCTCTCTGTTCCCTCTCTGTTTCCCTCTCTGTTTCCTGGTTCTCTCTCTGTTTCCTGTTTCCATCTCTCTGTTTTCCTGTTTCTCTGTTCCTGTGTTCCTCTCTGTTTCCTGTTTCCTCCGTCCTCTCTGTTTCCTCTCTGTTCCTGTCATCCTTCCTTTTCCTCTCGTTTCCTGTTTCCTCTCTTTTTGTTTCCTCTCGTTCCTCTCTGGTCCCTCTGTTTCCTGTTATCCTCTGTTTCCTCTCTGTCCTGGTTTCTCTCGGTTTCCTGTTTCATCGTTTCCCTCTCTGTTTCCTGGTTCCTCTCTTCTGTTTCCTGTTTTCCTCTGTTTCCTGTTCCTCTGTTCTCTCTGTTTCCTGTTCTCTCTCTGTTTCCTCTCTGTTCCGTGTTTCCTCTCTTGTTTCCGTGGTTTCCTGTTTCCTCTGTTTCCCTCTCTGTTTCGTTTCCTGTTCCTCGTCTCTGTGTCAGCGTGAGAACGTCCGTCAGCTGCGAGTGTCGCTGAGAGACGAATGAGCTTCAGACTCGACCAGGCAGAGAGAGGTCAGACAGCCAGCAGCTGCAGCAGCGCTGTTCTGCTCTGTTCACACCTGGAACGGTACAGGAGGAGGTGGAGAGTCAGTAATGTGGATTACAATCAATCTCCAGCTAAGGAGAATCAGCGACATGTTTAACCTGGTGTGTGTGTTGTGTGTGTGTGTGTGTGTGTGTGTTCCGGGAGTGTGTGCGGTGTCAGAGGGAGGAGTTTGTGACCTCACTGGCCGCTCTGACAGAGAAGCTGCTCCATCAGTTGGACACCTGCTCACACCTGCAGGTAACCATCGTCTGGATCTTGACCGTTAACCATGTAACCACATTAGGTTGTAATGAGGGACGAGCAGGTATTACCATCCTTAATCCTCTACAACCAAAACAATGGCTCATACAGCAGATAAATCTCATAACAAGTATACCTGAACAGCACACGCAACCTCACTGTCGTTGGGTGTTCCATTAGAAACCAATGGGCAGCTCTCACACAGCAGCACTCGAAGGACGGCTGCCTTACCATGGAGAGGGGTGAGACAGAGAGCAGGTACAGCTAGATGAACAGCGAGTTGGTTAACATGTTGTTAAAGGCTGTTAATTAAACCTTATAAACTAGTATATCAAACTCCTTCACAGATAAAAGGAACCTCAGCTCTTTCCAAATAAAGACCTTCAGCTCTTTTTACAGATAAAAGAGCCTCCATGCTCTTTCACAAATAAAATACCTCCAGCTTCTTTCACAATAAATTACTCAGCTCTTCACATAAATAAAACCTCCAACTCCTCACAATATAAGACGCTCCAGCTCTTTCACAATAAAATACCGTCAACTCACTTCACAATTAAAAGACCTCCCAACTCCTTCACAATAAAAACCTCCAGCCCTTTGTGGTTTTGTGTGTCATGACTGGGGTCTGCGGTATCCCGTACCTCCTGCCACCAGCAGCTCTGCTGACCCACCTTCCATGTCACCACGGCACAACAGCATCCATCACCACATAGACAGGTGCAACCCTGGGACATCTGGCTGTTATAGAGCAGGAGAGGACCACTGGCTGTGAAGTCTTACACACACACATACATTAACACACAGAGTGATGTTTATATTTCCTCCTTCAGTGTGTTAATGTGTGTGTGTTGTGTGTGTGTGTTTTAATTGTTCTGGCTGTGTGTGTGTGTGTGTGTGTGGGTCAGAGGTTTGAGCAGCTGTTCAGGTCGGAGTCGTCAGTGTCAAGTGACGCAATACAGACGACTGCGTGAACTACAGAGCGTTGGAACCACACTGGAGACAGCAGATACACACACTGAACCAACACACACTGAGACACACTGACACAAGACACAACACACACTGAACAACACACACTTACCACACAAACACTGGACACACTGAGACACACTGAGACACACTGAGACCACACTGGAGACACAACTGAGACACACACACACACACAGAATTGGACACACACAAACACACAACACACCACCACACACACACACAACACACCACACACACACACTGGTGGTGATGCCAGGCAACCACCTGATTGGCTGTTTGCTGTGACCACTGTTGTTGATGTTAATAAAGCCACAGAAGAAGGAACAGTGTCCAGTGAGCATGTCATTCCACCAGCAGGCGGCGCAAAGCACAAAAAGGTGAAAGTATTATTTTTGTATATAACTACTTTACCTGATGTAATAAAACAGTCACAGCAGAACATTTAATTAGTTACTGTAATGGACTGATTCACGCACATAGTGTCAATATAATATTAACATTGGATATCTTACACATATTTCCTGTGAATATTGATCAGATGAATATTTCTGTATTAATCAGATTTTAATAAGCTCCTTTCTGACAGATTCCAGGTGTTGCTGTTTGTGTAGTAATGTTGTTAACAGGAGACAGATGGAGGTTGATACTCGTCATTATCTTTCATTATTAATCTAAACTTTCGAAAACACAACAGATACGACTGTATGTATTTTAAAGTTTTCTACAACTTTAAATCAACGAAGACCTCTGCAACACCTGTGCAGGCTGAGGAGCGTCTGTGGGATGCTAACAACAGCTAGCAACACACACGACACGGCGGAATGATGGTAAACACTGTCCAATCAACAACTGAGCTCCAACTGGGCGAGGTCTTCTCATGTCTGGTACTCTATGTCAGTTGACTCTGAAATCAGAGCATTTGTCTTTAGTTTTATCCTATAAAGAAACAAACTATGGCTGGGTGTTTCTTTTATAATAAATATTATTTGAAGGTAAAACTGTCACTTATTTGTGGCGTATAGAATATTAATGTATTATATGAAATAAAGTTTTTATATTAAACAAATGTTAAGTAATGTATCACATTGGTTTCAGTTAATAAGTGTCATTGATTAGAACACTAATTGTAGAGCGTCGGTAAATCAACGGCATTCTTCGGCTATCTGTCACCATAATTGTCCTTTGTATTTTAATCAAAGCAACATACATTAAGCACAAAATAATACATTTATATGAAACAAGAAAAAACTTGCTTTGAACTCTTAAGCGGTTGAAAATAGTTTGCCCTTTCCGACCTCTTTAGCCAAAAACCTGTTCACACTCATCAGGTGAATATGTAGAGTCAACACCCCCTGACGTCATCTTGACGTCATCACATCATCATCATCATCTCAGCAATACCACTTCGGCATGATTAATAGTACTTAATTATGATCATAATTTGATATATATGGCAGCATGATTATAAGTTGCTCACATGAATATGATATGGTATGTGAAACACAAATGTAGTGTAATGGCTTCAACACTAATAATAAACAAATAGCTTTTATCTACAAAAATAACTTTAAAATGAACTCGAACAAACAAACTGCTGATTGAACAAAGTCTGAAGTTTATTATAAAACAGAATTCATCATTAATAATAAAAATCTAACGAAATGATTCAGAATAATTTCCTCCAAACAAGCTCATTGATCAGTCTGTTGTTTCTGGTATCAACCAACCAATCAGAAGCCAGACGTCATCTACACTTTTAAAATAAAACGCCTGATGACCTCACAGTTTGTCCTTTTAGGGCAGTTTCCATGACGACTGTGTCTTCCTGTCCCAGAGACATCCAGTGGTCTGTAGGAGTTCAGGACTCTGAGTCCAGGGCGGAGATCTTATCGATGGACCGAAGCAGCTGAGAGACCAAACGGAGAGTCTCTGCTTCCCCCAACAGCTGACTGACAGACAGACAGGCAGACAGACAGACAATAGTTCAGAGACTTAAAATGCTGAGTTTGTCATCATTCACCTGTTCACACAGCTACTGACCGGATGGAGGAGTGGGCGTGGCTCGCTGTCTTGTTCAGATACTCAGACGCCACCTGAGCGTTGTGTCTCATCGCCATGACGACCTCAGACTCCGCTGCCTTCAGACCGTCGTTCTCTGACCGCAGAGTGTTGACCTCCACCTGAGACACATCACACCTGTTATCATCAGGAGGACAGACAGACAGACAGACAGACACTGACCTGAGTTTAAACTGTCTCACCTGCAGCTGCTGCAGCTCAACTTTCAGTTTGGAAACGCTGTTTTCTGCTTTTACTGCTCGCTTCTAACAGTCAGACAGACAGACAGACAGACAGGGAGAGAGACAGAAAGAGAGAGACAGGTCAATCTCTAAATGTCCAAAATCTAAATAAAAGTTGATGTCTGATTGTTATTAATTGT